AAGAATGAACAAGCACAACAAGCTGCTGCCAAATCAACTCGGGCAGCACGCTCAAACGAATACAAGACAAGTGCACACGGTCAATGACGCTGCCAAGGCGACATGGGCAGAGAGTGCACGAACACAAACAATCTAAACAATGAGCAGCATGCATACATGCGCGCAGAGCAGTGCTAGGCATGGCATGAATGCTTGCAGGCAAGCATACACAACAGACAACACTTCACAACACTGCATGGCACGCAGGCATGGCATTTGCCAAGCATAACGGGCATGCACACACACACATGGCACACAACTCACGTGTGTAGGGGAAGCAGGAGAGGAGAGGCAGTTGGCACACATGCATACCAGCAGAGAGGAAGGAATGTTTGCAAACGGAAAAACCACAAAGCAGGTGTTGTTGGCAAACAAGACAAAACCACACGCGAAGGCAAATTAGGAAGGACTTAACACAGAACAGAAACTCACTGAATCTCAACACTCCCCCTCAACTGCCTTCCTCTGCTCCGTCTCAGCCGTCGAGGTTCCCACCAGTCGTGGCAGGTGCTGCTCGAAGGTCTGTTTGTCCAGTGCCTTGGTCAGCGCGTCGGCAACCATCTGCGTGCCGGGACAGTGCTGCAGCACAATGGTTCCGTCAGCGATGAGCTCCCGCACGAAGTGGTGGCGTACCCGGATGTGCTTCGTGCGCGGCTTGGTGACGTGGTCGTTACCGATGGCGATGGCCGCCTGGTTATCTGTCAGCATCTTGGTGGCTCCAGCCTCGGGCTCGTCAAGGTCCATGAGCAGCTGCCGCAGGAAGACGACGTCCTGCGCTGCAGCGGAGATGGCCATGTACTCGGCCTCGGCGGTGCTCAGCGCAACTGTGGGTTGCAGCCGGCTGCTCCAAGACACAAGACAGCCGTTGATGTAGCAGGTGAAGCCCGTCGTGGAGCGGCCCGTCAGCTGGTCTGTTCCGAAGCTGGCATCGCTGTAGCACACAAAGGTCCAGCGGCTGGTCCTTGCACGTGCCGCTGCGTCGCTTGAAGAGGAGGCCGTGCTCGCTCGTCGCCTTCAGGTACCGCACGACGTGCTTGGCTGCCTGCCAGTGGACCGTCGTGTAACGGTCCATGTAACGGCAGAGCAGTCCGCACGCGAAGCTGACGTCTGGTCTCGTGCGGTTGGCCAGGTACAGGAGCGAGCCCACGAGGTTGCGGAAAGGCAAGCGTCGGTCGGGCTGCTCGCTGATGCTGGAGGCGTCGATGCCAACACGCATGGGCGTGGACACGCTGGCTGCGGCTGCCAGGTTGTAGTCGTTGACGATGTCGTTGATGGCCTGTGTCTGCGCAATGTGCAACACCCCGTCAGCTGGTGACGTCAGGTGAAGGCCCAGGTACCAGGTGAGCGGGCCCAGGTCCTATGCCTCGAAGCTCTCCTTGATCTGCTGCTTGCAGGCACGGATGTGGCGCTCGCTGCTGCCGCTGATGATGAGGTCGTCCACGTACGTGATGATCCATGTGCGCTGTCCGTCGTCGTGGAGCTTGGTGAATAAGCAGGCGTCGACATTGCTTTGCGCCCATCCGTTGGTCTTGAGGAAGGTGTGCAGCTTCTTGGCCCATGCACGGCCAGCTTGCTTGAGGCCGTAGAGCGGCTTGAGCAGCCGGCACACCTTGCCCGCGTAGCGTTGAGCGCCGTCGCCGATGTCGGTGAAGTGCGGCGGCAGCTTCATGTACAGCTCCTCCTTGAGATCAGCCTGCAGGTAAGCCGACTTGAAGTCGAGCTGGTGCAGCTGGTGCTGTCGTTGCAGGGAGACGGCGAGCACAGTGAGGATGGTCTTGGCTGCTGGTGTTGGGGCGTAGGTCTGGTGGAAGTCGATGCCCGGTCGTTGGCTGAAGCCCTTGGCGACCCAGCGTGCCTTGAAGCGCGTCGGCGCGCCCTCAGCATCACGCTTCACCTTGAAGACGAAGCGTGACTTGAGGGGCGTGTGTTGCCGTGGCACGGCGCTGCGTGGGATGAGCTTGATGACGCCGTTGCGCTCCATCGCCCCGATCTCCTCCAAGCATGCCTGAGTCCACTGCTTGCGTTGCTGGCTCTTGAGTGCTTGCTTGATGCTTGCAGGCTCCGTGAGGCTGGTGTCGCCACTGCTGCTTGCTGTGAACGCGCCTGCCTCGGTGTCGCTTGCATCTGTTGTGTCGGGGTCGTAGTGGCGTCGTTGGTGTCGCTGCTGCTGTTGGCGTCAAAGTCCGTGAGCAGGAAGTCTGTCTCGACATCCTCGTCCTGCTCCTCGTCGATGTGAACCGTTGGTGGCTCACCGTCAGTGGTGCTGTTGCTGCTGTCACGTGCACTGGGAAGCTGGAGCATGGACGATGTCGTGGATGTCTGCACTTGCTCCCCCTCATCCACGACATCATCGGCCTTGGAGAAGGGAAGGAAGCGGACGTGGATGGAGGACACAACGGTGTTTGTGTCTTCAAAGTAGACGAGGTGGCTGTTGCTGCTGCTGTTGTGGCCGACGTAGATGCCTCGGCGGCCCTTGGGCTGCAGGCGTCCGCGCTGTGTGCTGATGTGGACGACGGCCGGCTGCCCGAAGACGTGCAGCTGTGGCACGTGCTTGGGCAGCGCGCCCGTGACAATCTGCAGCGGTGTCTTGCCGTAGAGGGAAGGGTGAGGCATGTTGTTGAGGATGTGGAGGGCGTGGTTGCAGGCGAGGCTCCAGTACGATGCGTCGAGGCCTGCACCCGTGATCATGGCTCGCACCATGTCGGAGAGGGTGCGCACCTGTCGCTCGACGATGCCGT